AAATATTTCGTAAAGCCACAGGTGGACAGTGAATGGCCCCTCCCATAGGAAATAAAAGGGGAGCGAAAGGGGGGGGGGCTTTTGCAGGAAACAATTTGTTTGTTTGTTTGGTCGTTAGATTCATTTCAGGAGTGTGAAGATCTGTCCGTGAATCTCAGAGACTCTGTGCCAAGCCTTTCCTTCCACAGCACCTCATTTACGAAATATTTACATGGCAGCTTTCCAAGCTAGATAAGGTCTGTGGTCATAAATACTCCTTTGAAAGGCTGTTTGCCAGGCCTTGGCTGAAGGTGAAGGAGAGGAATCCACATTTGTTTAATAAAAGGGGTTTTGTCGGGACCAGGACTTTGGGGGGAAGCCTAAGTCAGAACTATGCAATCTCACCATTTTTGAGTATCGCTTATAATATCATTTGTGGGGAACAGCCAAGAGAATTATATTGAGAGATTGGAAAAGTACCAAGATCTCAGATATCAAAGAATAGATCCAAGAAATATGTCACTTATCCATTTTTGAAAAAGCAATTTCTTTAACTACTAATAATAAAAAATGACACCACCATTTTCCCTGGGCACAAATTTCATAATATTTTACAAAAGTAAATAAACTCAGATGCAGAGTTTGATATGTTGTTATTACATGATGAAATGAATGTAGGCAGAATTGGGTGGTTTATGTTAATTATGTTTTTTTTTTTTTTAAAGGAGATTTCCCCCCCCTGTTTATTTGTCGGATTGACAGCTTTTCTATTTTTGGTACTGCAATTTCATAATGCATTAGTTAATTTATGGGGATATTATTTTTTTCATCCATTATTTTCTTCTATGCTTCTGTTTTCTGGGATTTATTTATTTATTTTAAAAGATGGACTTGTTTTAGACATTGGGAGTTGGATGGCACATACATTTAATTAATCATCATCTTCCAACACACGTTTTTCCTCCGTTGAGTTGCAGATGTATTGGGTTCTCAACCATCTTCATAACGTTGTCTGCATTTGGAAGATAAAGAGGCATCCGTCTTCTTTAATACTTGGCTCTTATGGAATTAAAGTGGAGTAGGTTTTTTTTTTTTAAATCCCAGAAAGAGGGATGGATGGGTGGATGGATGGATGGAGACAGACAGACAGATGATAGAAGATGGATAGATTGATAGAAGGAATGGATGGATGGATGGATGGATGGATGGATGGATGGATGGATGGATGGATAAAAGACATACATGAATGGATGAAAGACATACATGGATGGATGGATGGATAAAAGATATACATGGATGGATGAGTGGGTGGGTGGGTGGATAAAAGTTGGATGGATAGATGGATGAGGGGGTGGGTAGAGTGATTGATAATACATGCATGGGTGGATGGATGGAAAAAAGACATATATGGATGGATGGATGGATGGATGGATGATGAGTGGGTAGGTGGATGGATAAAAGACATGGAGGGAGAGAAGGAGGGAGGGAGAAAGGGAGAGATAGATGATAGTAGTAATAGATGGAAGCTTATCAAAGAGGGAGGCAACCTAGAACTAAGGAGAAATTTCCTGACAGTTAGAACAATTCATCAGTGGAACAGAAGTTGCCTCCAGAAGTTGAGGGTGCTTCATCAATGGATGTTTTTAAGAAGAATCTGGACAACCATTTGTCTGAAATGCTACAGGGTCTCCTGCTTGAGCAGAGGGTTAGATTAGAGAACTCCCAAGATTCCTTCCAACCCTTTTATTAGTCTATATTTGAATCCCATTTTATTCTGTTCTGTTCCATATCCATTATTATTCGTTTTCTGGAGCCAACTCTATTGTCTCCACTCTCCATTGCAAGGGCTAAGTGAGAACCTGGAGAAGATCCGAGGTCTGGAAGGACTGGGCTGGATTACTCCATGGGACATCATGGTGGGCTTCCAAAATGACATCATCCTCTCCCCGCCTTCTGTCTCTTTCCTAGAGAGTCAACTGCGGCTACATTCTCTGCACCGTCCTCCTCTCTGTGGTGATCCTCCTAGCGGTGACCGTCACGGCTGCCATCCTCTTCATGAACCACTACCACACACCGGTCACCGAATCCCCGCCCGTCATCACCACCAACCCGGACGATGCCAATGCTTTGGTCACCATCGAGAAAGCCGACAGTTCCCGCATCAACATCTTCATTGACCCCAACTGCCCCAACCAAGCCAACAGCTTCGCCCGCTTGGAGACCCTGCAATCGTCCCTCCTGAGAGTCGTGACGGACCAGGAGGCCGAGGCCAAGTCGTCCAAGGGGCAGGAGAGGGCCTTGATGGTGGGCCTCTCGGACGAGGTCTCCAAGCTTCTCTCTCACGCCACCCAGCTCCGGACGGACTGTGAAAATCTGAAGAAGGGGCACAGCACCATCGGGCAGGAGCTGAGCGCCCTCCAGAATGAACAAGGGCGGCTCATACAGGTGAGTCACAGGACTTCCCGTACATCTTAAAGTTGTTGAGGGTGACGAGCTATCACTCCAAGACCACCGCCAGCCCCTCGTTCTTAAATCGGAACCTGGAATTGCAGATTCCAACCATCTTCAAACAATCTCGGTTCCAGGCCAAGATATTTGGAAGAGGTTCCTGTTTTATGGCAATTCCTCCGGCCCGCATTCGATGCCAGATGCAATTTAAAGTGCTAATTAATCTTTACCAAGCCGTTTGTTTTACAAGGGCCATGCTCTATTCTGAATTGCAGATTTATTTTTCTTTTATTCCAATTAAATGCAAAGTGCCTGCTTCTCGCTCTCTTGCAAATTGTAAGCTCGCTCTACCCAGTGTGTACATAATGGGTGTGTGTGTGTGTGTGTGTGTTTGTGTATTTCCTTCTGGTTTTTTTTAAAATTTTGTGAGGCTGCTTGTAACTCTGGCCAATGTTGAACCCCTGTTTTCCGTGCATGCCAATTTGCAAAGCCACATCAACTCCTGGCGATTTACAGAATCCCAGAATCGCTCGGTCTTCTTTGCCCTGGAAATTGGGTAATTTTTTGAAAACAGCGGGCACAGGACCCAGCAGGGCAGCCACGACGGTTCTCGTCCTTTTGATGTATAACCAAGCTTTGTTTCCCACAACATTTTATTCCCTCCTTAACTTCTTTTCTTTAGAAATGGGAGGCGAAGTCTAGGAGGGAACGAGGAAAGAAACACGAACAGCCCTGAACCTCCACAGCAGCCCTTTGCCCTTGGAAACTACGGGAGTGGAGAAATGGGTTGAGCTCTTCAGAAAGGGAGAAAATAGGCGAATCTGGCTTCCTTCTGCTTTGTCAGGAGGTTGCAAAAGGGGATTGCGTGACCCCCGGGATGCTGCGACCGTCGTAAATACGAGTCAGTTGCCAAGCGTCTGAATTTTGATCACATGAACATGGGGAGGCCGCAACTAGCAATAACACTTAAGACTTATACCCCGCTTCATAGTGCTTTTGCAGCCCTCTCTAAGCGGTTTACAATGTCATCCTCTTGCCTCCCCCCATCAATCTGGGTCCTCATTTTACCCACCTCGGAAGGATGGGAGGCTGAGTCAATCTTGAGTCGGTCAAGATCGAACTGCTGGCAGTGGGCAGAATTAGCCTGCAATACTACATTGTAACCACTGCGCATCATGAAAGGAAGGAAGGAAGGAAGGAAAGAAAGAAAAGGGAAGGAGAAAAGGAAGAGCAATAGCATTAGCACTTAGGCTTTGCGGTGCTTTCCAGCCCTCTCTAAGCGGTGTGCAGAGTCAGCCTCTTTTGCCCCCCAACAATTTGGGTCCTCATTTTGCCCACCTGGGAAGGATGGGAGGCTGAGTCAGCCTGGAGCCTGGTGAGATTCGAACTGCCCAACTGCAGCTGGCAGTCAGCTGAATAGCCTGCAGTGCTGTGCTGTAATCGCTGTGCCACCTTGGCTTGGTCGTAAGTGTGAAAAATGGCCACAAGTCGCTTTTTTTGAACCGTCACTAAATGAATAGTTATTAGCCAAGGATTTACCTGTACTTATGACAGTCAACATTCTTCAGACTATACCTGTCTCTGGACATCTACAATTTAAATCTGAATTTACTAATTACATTTTTTTTTGGCACAAACATAAGCCAACATTTAGGCTCAAGTGTTAAACCTAGAATATTCAGTCAAAGATTTCACTTGCATTTCTCAAATATATTTGGGAAAGTTTTCATTGGTCTCTGAAAGACAAAATATACATTTTTTTTTTCAGTAAGGTGCAAATTCAGAAGTTTTGTGCTTGTTTAGAGTTTAGCTGAGGGACGAGGTGGCTCAGTGGCTAAGACATTGAGCTTGTCGATCAGAA